CCACCAACCGGCCGACGGCCCATGGTGGAAGGCCAACAGCACCAGGCGACCCGGACCTAAAAGTGTCTCGGATGCCTGAGTAACAATACCCGCGAAATCTGAACAAACCCAAAGCCAGGTGTGACCAGGGCCGGCTCATTACCAGCAGAGGCACGGGAAGGAGCAGAAGGTGGGCCTCCGCCAAAACCCAAAATGTCTTTTAGGTATTTTGGTGGCTGGTATCCCCAGACACCAGAATCACCAAGAAGCCACGAAGCCCAGCCTGAGCGGCTAGAGAACACACCGACTGACGTAACACCTAACTCAGCCTTCTCTCCCTTGACCCAGTCGGCAGCTGGACGTCAGAACGCTTGCGCTTCTTACCCGCAGGTACGGGAGAAGAAGCGAGTATAGCGGCCATACTAGACTTCGTAAACCCCGAAATTTATATACCAATAAACCGGGACCAAACCACTCCACTGCGCCAGAGGCTCATCAATCAAGACCCGAGAGCCTCCGCGAAACCGGGATTTTGCGTATCACGACTGGATGAAACCACGACGTGGGTGAAACCGGAGCTACACCAACAAAAAATTGGCGTGCCGTTGCATTGCAACAAAGCCCTAAGACACAAAACTTGACCCAAAGGAGGAGCTAAGTGCGATTACTTCTACATAACTGACCCACCCAATGTGCGGCGCTCGTTAAAACTATAACGGGAGGAGATCACCGGAGATGGGAAACCCTCCTCACACACAAGATACCCGTCACCGGACTGGCAAACCCCCATGAGCTGTATTCCCGCGGAAGGAGATGGGAAGCCTTGGCCGCACCTCGCACAACCAGTGGAGAACCTGGCCCCAAGGGGGCGGGCGCAACCACAAACATTAATCTCCTCGCTGGGCGTCGACAGAGATAGGAGGGGCATGTAAACATGTCTGGGTACCAGAAGGGGCTATCCAAAATATCGGACACTATCTAGGCAAGTGGTTCCAGATTAAGCCACCAAGGTAAAACCGGACCTAGGCCCTGGACGCCCGTGTCCAAAGACATGACACAGCCGACCATGAAAAAGGAAGGCCTGTACCACCAGAGGTCGGCCGAGAGGGCTGGGTTACTACCCCGCCAACTTCTCTCAGCAAAGAGCTCCAAATAATCGAGAGGCTCAGCCTGATCGATGGCAACGGAGAAGGGTAGGCGTCTAAACGAGGCCGAACCCCTCCTCCCAGCCGTAGCCTAATGTGTGCCCAAGGCAGACATCGACTCAGAAGAGACATGACTGAGACATGGCCGGGACATGGCTATACTCCATGCCTACCCGCGGACGGGAGCAAAAGAGCTAGCAAGAGCGTATATTTGCGCAATTTACCGAACCGTTAAACTGATACAGATTATATCGGACGGCACTGCTGAGCAGGCGATGGATATATATTTAGCTCGTCTCATAAGCACCCGACTGTGACAGGAGCGAGAGAGCTAGCAAGAGTGTACTACTATTGAGTGATCAAGGCGGCACGGGGTGCTGTGGAATCACTCGAGTACACGCTTGAGACTGACGGACAGTACCCTAGTGGGTCGGTCGGAAAGTCTCTTACGACTTCCACCCAAAGGGAGAGAGCCGGCCCCTGAGGATTCAAGCTAGTCTCGAGGACTACGGAATCGCTCAAGTTGTTGCTCTTTTTCTCCTGAGTTATCAAGACGGCACGGGGTGCTGCGTAATCACTCGAGTAAACACTCAAGACTGACGGACAGTACCCTAGCTGGGCGGTCGGAAAGTCTCTTACGACTTCCACCCGACGGGAGGAAGCCGGCCCCTGAGGATTCAAGCTAGTATTGAGGACTGCGGAATCGCTCAAGGTGTTGCACGTGTCAATAGCGGGAGCAAAGCCAGTGATCGGGTTCCGAGTGTGAGTGGCCGCAATGGCGACACTCTTCACCCGGGTCCGAGTGTGAGTGGCCGCAATGGCGACACTCATCCCCAGAGCATGAACGTCAGAGGCCGGCAGACCAATGACGCCCTTCTCTATCGTGTGTTGGGGGCTAACGATCGGTAAACCGATCGCCCCCTTCCTGGGACCCTGGGTCCAAACAATGGCTGTCTTACCGAGCCCGAAAAAGTCGAGCCGGTAATTATAAACGAGCCTGTCCGAGAGACGCTAGTAGCGCTCCCTAACTAACCTGCCGCCACACTGAATAAACGAGTGGTCGGCTTGTCAAACATCCCTCCCGTAGCTGCACCAGCTGGAGGAGAAACACGAGTACCAGGCTACGATGCATCCATCACGAACCTAAATACACGAAAAGTAAACAAAGAGAAACGCCAGACAAAAGGAGCGAGCGAGATTATGCCGGGATTACATTTGCCCCGGGCGTCGTACGATAAATTAGTCTATGATTTTTCGTAGACAACGTAGGAGGCTACGGGCTACGATGTTTGTGTTAACATTATCTACGAGCATCGTGCCATTTATTGTATTGGCCCTCAGGGGCAGGACGGAGCAAATCCGTACAGAGGCTGCTCGGAGATTTGAATGCTCAATATCACGGATACTGCACGGGCAGCGAGCAGTAACCTTGCGATAGCTGTGCAATGGCCATGCGAATGCCCCACGAGTCTACAATCTCTGTACGATTTTTTGTTTGCCCCCATGTTCACCGAAAAATCGTGACTAGGGAACCCATACCACCAAATTAATAGTAATTAAAATGAGGACGGAATTCAATACGTAAAAAGAGCTAAGCCCAACGAAAAAAAGGACAAAATCCTTGATTTTAATGTTACTCAGCTGTATACGATGTCTCTACCGATAGGGGAGAATAGAAAGAGGATGAGTGGCGGACGTGCGATGCGCACGTGAAGGCGATGTATGGAGGTGGGGGCATACACGAGTGTGACGTTTTTAAAGAGTTCTCGAAGGTAGCGTAGTTTAGATAAACTAACAAATAATAGGTAGATACATTGATTTATTGTGGTAAATATGGTTTATATTATACAAATATACACTGCCTTGAGAGGTTCTGGTTAAAACTATGCGCAAGAGGTGACTCCAATAGTACTATTTGCTGAGGGGCGCAGCCCCGAAGCAAATGGTACTTTTGGAGTCACCGAGGCCCATAGTTTAACCAGTACCTCGAATAGAAGGCATGGTATATTTGTTTTATATCCTGCATCAAAAAATTATTTAAAAAATAAATAAAAAAAAATATAAAAAAACATTTTTGGGAAAGAAAAAAAATTTGGAACAAAAAAAATGTTAATTTTTATCTAAAAAGATTTAAAATATTTTGTTTTCATTAAATAAAGATTTGAAAAAAAAATTGATTCAATTTAAAAAAAAAAATTTACAATTTTTTTTCAACTCCCAAATAGTAAACCAAAATAGTACTCTCATATAGTACTTTCTAAAAATAGCTCAAATATTTTTGGTCATGTGACGAGCTCTCAACCAATCAAAAGCCAACAAATTTTTGATGCAGGATATAATACTTATTATATCCCTCATGTATAGTTGTTTGCATTGCGATTGTACAGAGCACGAAAAAGGTATAGATAAGTACTATCTACCTGAGATAGGTCTTTTTGTAAAGTAATTTTTTGCTGCTGCCCCACTTGCGCGACGTGCGCATTGAATAGCGCATAGCAAAGTAGGTTACGCGAAATGTCAAATTCAATGTCAATGTAAGACAATGACAATGACAATTGACAATTATTTATTCTCATGTCACCCACATTGGGGTATTGGAGAAGTTTACAATCAATTTGAATTTGTCAATTAAACACTGTGAAATATACAATACAAATAGAATTAATGTTAATCCATACAAACTAACACTATCGACAATAGTGAGAACAATTATGATGATAATGATAATAACAATATTGATGATGATAATAATAATAATAATCAAAAACAAAACGATAATATTAATTAAAACGATAATTAATGACGAAATTAATGGAAGCAATTGAAAAAGAAATTTACTGGCACCAGTAAATTGATATCTGAATTAATGAATTACTGAAAATATTCTTGATATCAATTTAATAAATTGACATAAGACAAAAAAGAGAAACATAAAGTTAGTATTGAACTCATAACATGTTTTTGCACATACTTAAATTAATGAAAACGAAGCATTATTTTTCGACAGAATTTTACTAAGTTTAAACGTGTTTGTACATTATTGGAGTTAAACAGCTGATCCATTTTTCAGTGTATTTGGTCTTTCAATAAAATATTTATCGATGAACAATTTTCTTTCTGAACGAAAGGTAGGGCATACAAACAAGTAATGAAACTCATCCCCAAGCGATTGCAAATTGCACAGCGTACATACCGGTAGCCTCATTTCCCTTGGAGTATTTGAATATCTACCAGCTACAATCGGCAGGTAATGATTGCCACAGCGAAAACGACTTAATATTGTCCGATCTCTTTTAATGAGATCGATTAAGTATCTTTCTAAACATAAAGAATGAGCGCGCATCGACTGTATTACATGTACGCATGTTGTGCTTTGTAAAATCGAGCTGAAGCTAAACTGTCTGCGAAATCAGTTGTTTTAATTATGTAAATTCACTTTAAATAGACCTTATTGCCGATGTGGGATATAAAACAAATATTAACCTCCTTTACTCGGGCAATGAATACAAACTATCATCGCCTCGGTGATCTCGGGGCTACCATCTTCCCTCGCCTTGCGGCTCGGGAAGATAGTAGCCCCGAGATCACCTCGGCGATGATAGTTTGCACCATTACCCTCATAGTCGATTAATATTTGCTTACTATCATTTTTTTCTAATAATTTTCTATAGGGAGCTAATAACCACTTTCGCTTTTTTAACCCCCTACTTCATGAAACTCTAGCTTTTCCTAACTGCTTCCTCTTAACGGTGTTCTAATTTGGACTGTACCATCATTCCGTTTCGTGTACTATAGAATTGATTACACGTCCGTAGACTCTATAACAAAACGCGTAATGACTTGCTTAGATCATAAAATATATACTCTAATCAATACCTTTGCAGACGAGGCTTCCGACGATAATGTTGAGTAGAAGGCATCATGCATTTGGCGTTCACAACTGACTGTCAGGTTCTTCAGATGAGGCATCTTGCAGAGGACCTGAGCGAGATCACGTGATGCAGAGGGACGTTCACTGAGATCATCAAGCTGGATGTCAAGAGTCTCAATCTGTTATGATAGTAACATTATGTTGATTGATTAATTAATAACGACCAACTAAAAGTATATTCAAGATTAAACAATTTGTTTAAAATTGTATTGATATCGTTGCCACAATGAAAACGTCTTAACCCATCCACCTTTATTTTGTCTTATACATCTCACTCCCAGATCCTAATCAAATGATTGGTCATGCGCGGTCGCGTGTGATTCAATAACTGAGCCTATTGCACTCGTTTTCATGAAAAGGAGTGCAATATTTTCAAGTACTATTAAACTCGTTTTCAGAGCGCGCAATAGTGCGCGTAGGGTTAGAGCGCTTTATACTGCTATTCCTGCGCAGCACTATGGGTGCAGAGGTAAGCGCTTGCTATATCTATACTTATGTGTGTGCACTAAATAGAGACTTATTCAAACTTGAGATTTATTTGTCAGCCATATACTGTCACGAAACAATCTTGGATTAATTCTGTTTACATCAAATAACAAGGATCTAGGAGTTTCGTTGTATAAAACAAATGATGCATGTTTTCATTCGTTTATTATACGATCTATCCGCCCTCGTTGATGCTGTGTGTATCTATCGCACTCAGCCTAACGGCTTCGTGTGATAGATACACACAGCCTCAACTCGAGTGCGGATAGATCGTATAATGAACTCATGCGCATGCATCATATTTTGTAGAATGATGTACAAGTCTTGACACCTGTAATAAGCACTATTCTCGATAGTTCCTGTATTATTTTCTGAATGAAAATGGTGTTCATGCTGCTAGCTTAAGGCCGGCTTACATTGTAGCGGCAAAGACCCCGCGAAAGGAGACGGATGTGAAAATCATTACATTCTGGCGGTAAAGCGACGGCAAAAGGGGAAAACCAAGATTCGCTGATGAGTGGAACGACCTTCAGCGACAACACGGCGGTAAGGGGCGAATGGCTGCGGCAGCGAACGGAGTCTAGCGACCAAAATCGGACGTTGTCTGTGCGGCGAGTGACGATGTCTCGACGGAGCCCGGCAACAAGGAACGAGGTCAGACGGCTGACAGCGGATTAGCTGGGGGCAAGGAACGGCGGCTGACGGTGGGTTTCGGCGACGATGACGTGACTCAGCGGTCGACATCAAAGTCTGTGTTTGTGCGGGTCACTGACGTCACAAAGCGTAAAAAATCGCAAAAAAAGTTTAAAATCGCGGACCATCGTTGCAAAATCGTAACCGTCGCAGACCACCGTTGCAATGCCGCAGGTACTCGCAAACGACCCGCCATCAACAGTCATCAACCGTCACCCTCCGGCCAAAATTCGCAATCCATCAGGGTTCGGGATGTGACGTCACTTGCCGTTGTTTTGCCGTCAATGATCGTTGACAACGACAACGACAACGACAACGAATACCAACGAAATTGTGACGACCGCAAAACGACTAGAGACGGAATCGCGCGCATAGAAACGTCAAGGAAATAAGGGTTGCTGTCTCCAACGAAATCTAAACGGAGTCACAACGATTTTTTTTGCCGCCTCAAAATTTTCAATTTGCTGACAATTTGCCCACGGACGTGACTGGTAATTTCGGCCGTCTGCGGTCGCTGGCGGATTCGTTAGCGACAATTAAAGACAACACACGATGATTGGCGGGAAATTCAATAATTCAATTCGAGGCTTAACGTAGCATGTGGTACCCCCCCCCCCTCCCCCCTATTCGTCATAGTGTGAGCCGGCCTTTAAGGTGAACAATATGTTTTGACTTATCCAATTAGGCCTGTGGCATGACTTAAAGCAAATGGGAGACAGAAGAATATGTCCAGAAGTATAATGCGACATAATGGATAAAATGAGACATCGTTAGTATTCTCTAGATTATAATTGACCTGAATGAAGGAGTTTGATCTAAATTTAAATTTTCTTTAAGATTCTATTCTTACATTAAACAATATGATAAAACAAGATGGCAGAACGGTCGCTTTTCTTTAAGAGAAAACAATGATTTTGTTACGGGGACAACTCGAACACCCTGATTATGTTATCGACGACATTGTGTATTTTCGGCTCAGAGATTGTCCAAAAGGAGGGGATTTACCAGATATATGATTCGGAAATCTCGCTTTAGCTCCCCGCATTTGCACAATAAATCAGGTAAGGAGGAGGAGGGGGGGGGGGTAGATAATTTTAATAGACAATGTTATTTTTTTACATGTTATTAAAATAGTACTTTGAAAACTCAATTTTTCGTAGCTAAGTATAGACACGTGTAAGTGAAAACATGGTAGATATTATTTACTGTAAATTGTTATATTGTTCTGTAGGTAGTGCATTCCCACTTACAACTATCATTTGCCCCCTATTTCATAAAACGTTAGCTTTCCCTACCCGCTACCTCTGTAACGGTGTACTAATTTGGACAGTAACATCATCCCGTCTCGTCTATAGAAATGAGTACTCGCCAGTATAACAAAACGCGTAGTGATTTACTTAGATTATAAAATATACGCTCTAATCAATACCTTTGCAGATGACGCCATTGACGAAAATGTTGAGAAGAAGTCATTGTGAAGTGAGAAATCATCCCAGCCCTTTTGCCCATTGAGTGTAAGGTTCTTCAGATGAGGCAACTTGCAGATGACCTGAGCGAGATCACGTGATGCAGAGGGACGTTCACTGAGATTATCAAGATGGATGTGAAGAGTCTCAATCTGTTATGAAAGTAACATTATGTTGAATGATCATTTAAAAATAACTAAGTCAAAGTATATTCAAGAAGAAACTATTTGCTTAAAAATTATATCAATATCGTTATCACGATGAAATCGTCTTAACCCATCTACCAATTATTTTGTAATGATGTACAAGTCTCTACACTGAAATAAGCACTAATTTCGATAGCTTCTGTATTAATTTGAGATTGAAAATGGTGTTTATACATTACTTCTATGTTAAGGTGAACAACATGTTTTGAGTGATCGAATTAGGACTGTGGCATGACTGATAGCAAATAGGAGACAGTATAATTTGTTCAGAAGTTAATGTGAAATTACGAATGAAATTAAACATCATAAATATTCTCTGATCAGAGTTGACCTGAATAATTCAAATTCAAATTCAAAGTTTATTCAACACTCTTCATAAAAACATTTAAAACATACAAATACAGAATGAAGTTATAAATATAAAAAAACACAAGAAAGTGATAACAAATACAATGGCAATTTATAAGAGCATTTGGGATAGGCAGAAAGGAGGGAAGTTCCTTATATAAAAGCCTACCCCTAAAAACACACATACATGAAAACAAGAACAAAAGAACAGAACAAAAAACAAAGAACATATTATAACTTACCATCATGCACGATCAGAGTATATCAAAAAAAATGTCAAAAATTGGCCCATACTATTAATACTGATTATTATACTTGTTTAACAGAAATTGTTTATATTTAATTTTAAAAAGATTGAGAGTTTTGCATTTTTTTATTTCCTAAGGTATACTATTCCATATTAATGGTCCTTTAAAAAATAGTGAATTTTTCATACAAGTCGTTCTTATCTTGGGGAGGTGATAATTTAGGGCATTTCTAGTATTAAAATTATGCACATCACAATTCAAGTTAAAACATGTTAATAAAAAGGTAGGCAAGTTGCCATTAAAACATGAAAACATGAAAACTGCAATATGAAAATTATGCATATCGATTACATTCAAAATTCCAAGATTACAAAATAAAGGATTACAGTGAGCATAATATTGGGAATGAGTTATAATGCGTATTGCTTTCTTTTGAAGCTTAAGTAACCTTAACATATCATTTTTATTAAAATTTGCCCATGCAACTATACAGTAATTAAAATATGGTGTTATTAAAGTATGATACAACATTTTCAAAATATTTAAGGGATAAAAATGAACTTTATATAAAATACCAATATTTTTTGCTATTTTATTGCACACCACATTTATATGCTCATGCCACTTCAATTTATGATTAATTACAATACCTAAAAACTTAAGATTATCTACACGTTCAAAATTATGATCATTTACTCGTAAGTGAATGTTGTTAAAATCAATATTTCTATTTGTAAAAACCATAAACTTAGTTTTATCATAATTTAAAACCAATTTATTATATAAAAACCAATTAGAAAGTTTCAAAATTTCTTGCTTAAAAACATTTTGTAAAACCTGGACATCAGAATGAGACATAAAAACACTTGTGTCATCAGCAAATAAAATAAACTTTAGTTTGTCAGAAATATTGCACATGTCATTAACATAAATAATAAATAAAAGAGGTCCAAGGATGGATCCTTGAGGCACTCCACATCTAAGCTTTTCAATATTAGACTTTTCTTTATTTATTTGTACAAATTGGGTTCTATTTTCTAAATAACTTTCAAACCATTTTAAAGTTACTCCACGAATACCATAATAATATAACTTTTTCAATAAAATAGTGTGGTCTAATGTATCAAATGCTTTACTTAAATCTAAAAAAAAGGCCCATTAAGATATGATTATTTTCAAAAGTTTTCAAAACATTATTAATAAAATGCATAATTGCATTAGATGTAGAGTGCCCAGGTCTAAAACCATATCGAAATTCTGTGATAATATTACACTTATTTAAAAACATAAAAAGTCGATTATAAACAGCTCTTTCTAAAATCTTTGAGAAAACAGGGAGAATAGATATAGGTCGATAATTAGAAACATTTTCTTTAGTGCCATTTTTAAAAACAGGAATAACCTTTTCAAGTTTTAATTGCTCTGGTACTATACCAGCAGATAAAGAAATATTGAATATTGCACTTAAAGGACATGATATAATACGAACAACTTTTTCCAATAATTTAACACTTACATCATCATAACCACAACTCTTATTATTTTGTAATTTACTTACAATATTGATTATTTCTGTGGGGGTAATTGGATTAAAAAAAGCTGTACATGAATTAAAATCAATATTACTATAAATGTCATTACTAAAATCATTATCTATGTTGTTGTCTAAATTATCAGTCAAGCTAGGTCCTATATTAATAATTTTTTTTATTAAAAACAGAGCATATTTCTTTCTTATCACATATAGCTTGATCATTACACATAGCCGAGTCGGGCATATTATGCTTACTCGTACTCTTACCGAGACTTTCATTGATTAACTTCCATGTTTTCCGTATGTTTCCTGATGCATTTCTAAATTTGGCCTTAAAATATTCTATTTTAGCTTTTTTAATTTTACCATTCACCATATTTCTATATTTGTTGTATTTATGTTTTTTATATTCAATTGGATCTTTCAAGTACTTCTTATATAATTCACACTTTTTTTTGCACATTTTGCGTAACTCTTTAGTAAACCATCGGTTATTATATTTTTTACTCTTTAAACATTTTTTCAAAGGAAAACATTTATTAAAAATACAAACATACTGTCTTAAAAAACATTCATAACTATAATTTGGATCATTAGAACATAAATTCCAATCAGAGTTATATATTTCATGCATAAATTTTCCAATATTTTCCTCATTTAGATCACGTAAAACAAAATTTGTATGCACTGTTTTTTATTGATTAAAAATACTGGCAAATGGTCACTTACGTCACTTAAAATTGTTCCACACCAAACTTCTTCTAAATTGTTCGTAAAAATATTATCAATTAAAGTACAAGACCTGTCAGTTATTCGGGTTGGACAATGAATCATGGGATATAAAAAATAAGTCATCAATAATTCTAAAAGATCATTAACAGATTGGCAAGAGTTAACATCAAATAAATTAATATTAAAATCGCCCATAAGATATATGTCTTTATTTTCCTTATGAACAACATTTAAAGTATCTTCTAAAATATCTAAAAACGATTGCACTGGTTGATTTGGAGGCCGGTAAATAACACCAATTAAAACATTTTTCTTTACCTTTTCAATTTCTACAAACATTGACTCAAAACATTCATTATTTAAATCTAAATCCTTACGTTGTTTATATTTCAATTTCTCATTTAATAAAAGTCCTACACCTCCTCCTTTCTTACCTTGTCTTACATTCAATAAAAAAATATAATTATTAAAATTGTAGAATGGGTCAGCCTCTTTAATCCAAATTTCAGTAAAACCAATTGCAGAAAATTGCACATCAATAGCATCTTAAAGCGAACATATTGCACTATAATTCTTATTTAAACTACGAAAATTTATATGAAGGTAACTTGATGTAAAATATACTTTAGAATGAGAATTAAAAGTGTTTAAACATGAATTAAATTCCTCAGACGTATAACAAAAACTATTTGGTCCATATTCTTCATCCTCCTCTGTAGTGGGACTCAATAACTGATGTATATCTTGGGGTTCTATAGGCATCTATATTTCACATTTATTCCGATCATTTTCACTGGCATTTTGACATACGAAATAAAGAGAAAATAGAAAAACGTGTACATGACACAGATAATATAAACGAACATACAAAACTAAGGTTACGAAACCAAAGCTTAAAACACACACGATTAAAACCAATAACTTAAAACAGTTCTACAACTTAAACAAACTACACAAACGTTCAGAGAAATATTGTTGAAATAGAAGAACAATTCATAAATGGAAGAAAAAATTAACTAAAAAATTAATGACAACAAGTAACATTCAAAATTTACTTACAATAAAAATACAACACGAAATATTAAAAGCAAATCAGGACTAATTTAGTCAATTGTGGGGAAAATGCTAGTCAAAGTAGTGGAATGTATCATCGCATGCATGTGTCCATTGGTTTATTATGGTAGTTTGTTCAAATCATTTAAGTTCCGTATGATCTTTTTTTGTAGTTTTTCCTCTCGTAGCGGCAATCAGAACTATCACGTGACCATCTGATGTCCAGGCTTCTTTGACCTTTTCGTGATGCTTGACTTTTAAAAAAAGATCTAGGTTGTATGCCGTAAGTGCTTCATCAATAGGGACTTTTAGATTGAGTGGACGAGAACACGACGAACGCCGACTGATCATGCGTGTCAACGTACTCAACTGCCCATGTTGACTACAATTAGAAATCTTTTAGATTGCACTCGACGATATACATGCATGCAGGAAGTAACACTATGAACATGACAGACAAAGAAAGAGGACAAAATATACAGTTCCTCATTCTACCCTCAATAATAGGCCATTTTCGAAATGTAACCAAATTTAATGCATAGGTCTTTGTGAAGTGCCTCAATACAAATTATTTCATTCACCTGATAGGAATAATAGTATTTCAATAGTCAGAATGCAAATGCATATATTAAGTGTTGCTAGGTAGGTATAATGTTTGTCCAACCTGGCAACAACTAATGTATGCAGTTAGGATTCTGTCTATTGAAATACTATTATTCTTATCAGGTGAATGAAATAGTTTGTATTGAGGCACTTCACAAAGACCTATGCATTAAATTTGGTTACATTACGAAAATGGCCTATTACTGTGGTAGAACATCCCTTCACTGCTATTATGTAAAAATGTGTAGAACAGGTAAATCTGCATGTGACACCTGTTCTACACATTTGTACATAATATCAGGGAAAGGATGTTCCTTTGTCTACCTGAGGAACTGTATATTTTATGCCTACGCGGCATATACTAGTACCGTACTAGATTTAGGAAAATCAAGGTTGACACCCTCTCGATCGCCGACTGACACGACGTG